ATCTTTAAAAAACACTGCATTTTGCTGTGAATGGTGGTTCACACTACAGTTGCATCACTCGGGAGACTGAGGCAAAGGATCACAAAGCCTGAGTGGCTTGACAAGACCCTCTTCAAACTTAAAGCAGGCTGTGTATAGCTCAGTAGCAAAGTGCTGGCATTGTGGTGAGGCTCTTGGTTCAATCCCCTGCACCGCCAAAGAAAAGGCAAAAAGAAAAAGCCTGCATTTTACCCTGAGCTCAGAGCACTAAACACAATAACCCAGGAGAGGAGAAAGCTCACTCTGTGAATACTGCTTAAAGAGTGGAGCCACAGCTGAGTGCACATTAACCCCAGCACTGGGGTAGCAGAGGCAGGCAAGCTCTATTGAGTTCAAGACCAGCCTGGTCTACATAAGTGAGACCCAGACAGGGGCTTTGGTACAGAGCCCTTCTGTGCCCCCACCGGCTGATGCCCCTTGACTTCTGCTCTCCTGGGAGTTGCCCCCTCTGTGGAATAGGTCCTCTCTGGTAAAATAAAGTACCATGGGTGAGCTTGGCCGTCTGTGAAACCTCTAGTCAGGGCTAGTGCTAAGCCTGGAACCCTGAGCAGTTGTCTTGGCAGTGAAGTCATAAAGGGGCCAGTACCCAGAAGACTAGGTCCTGGCTCTGACTTCTGAGGGTAGAGGTCATGTATAACACAGGACTGTTAACATCCCATCCTTAACTCTACCTTCTCAGAGCAAGACTTGGTGTGGCTGTAGCTGTTGTCTTTAATACAAAGATCATTGGAGGTTTTTTTTTCCCCCTTCTTTAGGGACATGAGTTTTATAATCCCCAAAAGAAAAATTACATTTTCCTGCGTAACGCAGCTGAAGAGCTAAAGCCAAGGAATAAGAAGTAGTGGCCTGAAGCTGGGGGCTGTTGGAGTTTCCTGTCCACAACAGGTCATCTCGGCTCAAATTTGAGCCGCAGCTGTGGGTGGCCCACAGTCCTGGATGTGGCTCTTCCCCTCTGGAGGGACCGATGATCTTGTTCAGCGTTAGCCCAGCATCCTGGCGACCTGCCTTCTCTCCATTCCACTCCTGCTGCAGCTTCCCTGTAACGCTAAGGGAACTGAGATTCTCACGGAAGTCCAATCTTTTGGACATTGTGCCGTCCAGCAGCGTGCATTTGACAGTGTTGGGTGGGAACTGTTGATGAGCCCTGTACTCTGTTTTATAATAAAATATTTTGAAGATGGCCTGCTGATTCCCTTCATCCACTCCCCCTTTCCCTGACCCTCAGGAAATAGCCATCCCATCCCAGCATCAATGCTAGGTTCCAAGTTTATTATTTTTGTCAAGTTTGTTCCAAGTTTATTATTTTGCCCCTGAAAAGCTGTGTGAACCGCACACCATCCTGCATCAGAGTGAAGGGGCTGGTGTGATGTCCTGCCCTGAGAGAACAGTCATCTTTCCCAGCACTGAGGGTCTTCCACAGCTCTGTTTTAATCCCACAAAAACTGGAGACAGTGGGTCCTGGGTGACTGGTCTGCCTAAGGGCCTGAGAGTGCACTCTTAGTCCCACTGCTCTCCCTCAGACAGACAGACCTTGGAGTCCAGCAAGCAACTCGGTGAGACCCGGTCTCCAAGTACAAGTCAGAGAGGGCTGGGCTCTGTACAGTGCTGGCCACCCCGAGAGCCCTGGGCTTCACTCCCAGGGAACACTGCCGCTAGATCATTGACTGTCGTGTCTGCCTGGTTTCTCACATTACCAATAGGTTTGACGTGCAACAGGCTGTGTGTGTTTAAAGTCCATAGTGGCCTCTGATGGGAGGTAAATATATGTCCCTCTGCGGGTGTTTGAGGTGGAGAGATATGGGGCCTGTGTCCTGGTGGAGAGCCAGGAGCTCTGGAGAGTGGTGAGAAGAGGCAAGTGTGGGGTGGCTGCTGCTGGACCCCCATGAGCCTGCCTGGCCAGAGGAGCTGGCAAGAGGGATGGTATTCTGCTCATGAGACTGAGTGACCAAGTGTCTTAGTTTCATTTCCTGTTGCTGTGATGAAACACCCTGACAAAGCCAACTAGGGGAGAAAAGGGCTCCTTTAGCTCACAGTTTCAAGTTACAGTCTGTCCATCGTAGCACGGATCTGAGGAAGTCGCAGCAGTAGGCCCATGAGAGAGTTGGTCACATCACAGCCATAATCAGAAGCCAACAGATACGTGCATGTCTGTGCTCAGCATACTTCTCTCACACAGCTCAAAACCCCCACCTTGGGAATGGTACCCCCCCAGTAGGCAGGTCTTCTCATACCAGTGAACGCAATCAGGATAATTCTCACAGGACAACTTAATCTAGACAATCACTGACTGAGACTCCCTTTCCAGGTGATTGTAGATGGAGTCAATCTGACAAAGCTAACCATCACATCAGGGACAAGACTTAGCCAGCTTGATCCCCTCTGTCAAAACAACCGGGCTTCTGATTCCCTTATCTCAGCTCCTGGGCCTTCACACTGAAGATCCAGCGGTGAAAAGCACCCCCAAAAGTGCTGGTGGGACAGGACAGCTCTTCCGGCAGGGTACCCATCACTAAAGGGACCTGGATATGGCCAACCAGGAGCAACCTGGGTAGTCCAGAGGCCCATTAGGGTCCAGGGCTCGTAAGTGGGAGGAAAGCAGATCAGAAAGCGGCAGAGCCCATGAGAAGCCATGAAAGCAGAAGAGAACATTGGTCTGGAGCACAGGATGTATTGCTGTCAAGGAAGGAAGGCTCTGTCTGGAGGGGCCATAACCTGTCTCATGGAGACCCTTGGCCTCCAGCATGGTAAGAGGATAAGCGGTAATGCTTCACACCCCCGGGTGTGACAGTTGGTGACGGCGGCCACAGGCAGTGTGTAAACAGGAGCTTCTTGTAGTCAGGTCTGCTTGCGCACGCGCGCATATGTGTGTGTGTGTGTGTGTGTGTAGTCAGGTCCATGGACCCGGTGGGAGGAGGGCCTTGCCTTCCCCAGCCAGAGCCCAGTGACCCAGGATCATCGAGTGTGTGGGGTGTGAGTGAGTGTGTGTGTGTGCGTGTGCGTGTGCCTGTGTGTGTGTGTGTGTGGTGCAGCCCCAGCACTCGGAGCTGCACCTGTGCCTTGGGAGCCACTGCAGGCCACTGTGCAGCTGTCGCCAACAGCTGGACTTGGGGACTGAACCTCCACCCTGCACCATCGTGCGGCCACCAGTTGGCCCCATTATAATGCAGCAGTGTGTAATGAAATTAATACTCATATTAATATGAAATAGGAATATGAACTTAACATGAAATATTAATGTGAGATTAATATTAACAGCTGGATTTAATTTGGGGGGGAAAAGGATCATGTAGCCCAGGCTGGTTTTGAACTTGCTATGTGAATGATGAGAACCTTATTTTTTAAAATATACTTTTTAAACCAGGCGGTGATGGTACACACCTTTAATCCCAACACTTAGGAGGCAGAGGCAGGCAGATCTCTGAGTTCAAGGCCAGCCTGGTCTATAGAGTGAGTTCTGGGACTGCCAGGGCTACACAGAGAACCCTTGTCTCAAAAATCCAAAAACCAAAGAAAACCCAAAACAAAAACGAACCAACCAAACAACCAGTCATTCAAGGTATGCCACACGTGCAGGTGCATGCAGAGGCCAGAAGAGGATGTTGTGCCCTGGAGGGGCACCACACTTGTTATGCAGTGCTGGGACTCGAACTCAGGCCTTCATGAATGCTAAGCAAGTACTCTACCCACGTCCCAGCCCTCCCAGCTGTATTTTTAATACAACTGTTTCCTTTGCAAATGGAGGCACTTTTGTTTGTCTTTAAGCCATGACGCTGAGAAGGATCCTCCAGTCTGCAGATGGCCGAGGGCTCCAAGACCTAGGAGGACCTGGGAGGGGACACTACTTGGCAGAATATGCATTAGTGGATTGGTGCTCCTATGCAGACGAAGACAAGTTGGGTGCTCTCTGGGAACAACCCTAACCGTCCCCAAAAGCCCTGAAAGGAAGCTTCTGGTGCTCTGGCCATTAGAGCTGAGAAACAGGCCAGCAGAAGGGACCCCCTGCTACTGCCTGAGGATGAGAGGGCAGGCAGGGTCAGGCTCTGCCTCCTCCTGAGCCTCCCAAGGCATCCGTTAGGCAGATGGTAGTCTGCTCTTTTTTACCCAAGGACTCTGGAGACACAGTCTGGCCGAGGATGGGGCAGGCAGTGTGCGGCCTGGGCTGTCCTGACTGGAATCCACAGGAACCCGTGGTCCCTTTTCCGCCCACCCCATCAGGAGCTCACTCGAGTGAGTCTAAGTCACTGTCCTTGGGGAGGAGAGAACTGAGCCTGGGTCCTGCAGCTGCAGAGTCTGGTCACTCCAGTCACCACAACCGGTGCACCTTCCGCTCCTACCTCCCAAGCCAGGGCAGAAGACACCACTGTTGCTCCCTGTGCAGAAAAATCAAAACAGCCGGGCTGTGGCGGTGCGCACCTTTAGTCCCAGCACTCAGGAGGCAGAGGCAGGTGGATGGATCTCTGAGTTCAAGGCCAGCCTGGGCTACAGAGTGAGTTCCAGGACAGCCAGGGCTACACAGAGAAACCCTGTCTCAAAAAACACAAAAACCATACAAACCAAAAGCAAAAGCAAAAACCAACCTACCAAACAACAAACAACCAGTCATTCAAGGCTTGAGAGGCCAAGAAATGGGGCTGAGGTCAAAGTTCAGGCAGACCCCACCCCGTGTGCCACAGCAGCTGAGGGGGTGTGGGGAGAAGAGCAGGAACCAGGCCAGGCTAGCCTCCCTGGGTGCCTTGACCTCCACCTCAGGTGCAGCAGCACCCTGACCTCTGCCCCCAGGGACAGCCGTATAGCCTGCCCC